AAGCCACCGGGTCCGGGACGTGAACCGCGGTCGACTACGTGGGAGTCCAGCGACATAGCCATTACGCTAACTGCTGGTTCCCATGTTGTTCAGTTTTATAAGATTAATTATTTATTCCAGTGAGAGACAGAAATACAGCGCTCCTGACGGGGTCCTGACACTGCAAGCCTCTCCCAGCCCCCGCCAGCAGGTTCACTGGCCCACACGTGCCCAGTACACTCAGGGAGGTCTCTGGACGCGAACCACGACCTTCCAGTGGCCCAGCCTCACACACCCTTGTGTTTTGCTGCTATGCCACCGTTGGGCCTCAGAACCATGGTTCTTCTCTATTCTTTTTCTTCTAGTTTTTGCCATAGAGTGTGTGCACTCACTGGAGAGAACCGAAACCATGGTTATTACGTTTTGGTGTACTTCTGGGACCAGCAGATGGCATAGTCATTATGTTGCTGGACTCCCACATGGCTGACTATGGTTTGAGTCCCAGACCCAGTGGTTTGAAAATCATGCCGGGCGCATGCATTCGTACCCAAGATCCCAGAATAGAGGAGAAGGAACTTTGGCATGGCCATTAACCCTGGGGGGTGACTTCTCACTTTCCTTCTCACTGTGTCTGTGTCTCTCTCCCCGGGCAAGCACATGCACCCTAAGGCAAAAGCATCTCAGAAAAAAAGGGGGGGGGGCGGCAAGGTGGCATGGTGGTTAAAGGCACTGGATTCCCACATGGCCGACTGCAGGTTCGAGTCTCGGACCTGGTGGCTTGCTTTCTCACTTTCCCTTTCTTTCTCTCTCTGTCTCTCTCTAGTCAAATTAAAAAATAATAACAAATGGAATTAAATAAATAAATAATTATTTAAGGAAAAAAAATAGTTTTGGTATACATCAGAATTCCCTGGAGGGAAGTTCCCTCCAACCCCAGAGTCCAGACGTAACCGCTGTCAGCAATTTGCCACTTTGCTGAAGAGTATTCTAGATTTTTGAACATTTAAAAATGCCTGGCGTGGGGGGAAGCACTAGCAGGTGGCATGGTGGTTAAGGTGCTGGACTCCCACACGACTGACCTTGGTTAGAGTCCCGGACCTGGCAGCTTATTTACTTTCTCATTCTCTCTCTCTTTCTGTCTCTCTCTCTGTCTCTCTCTGGTGAGCACACATGCCCCCCAAAAATAATAATTTAAAAATTAAATAAATAATTCTTTTCTAAAATTGCCTAGGGGAAACAGCAGGTGGTGTGGTGGTTAAGGTGCTGGACTCCCACGTGGCCTACCACAGTTCAGACCCAGACCCAGAAATCACCACCCTGGGAATGGCCACACCGCAGTCCCTTCTCCTCCGTTCTCCTCTCAGGATTGTGGGCGCGCACATTCACCTGGCGTGAGTTTCAAGTGGCCAGGTCCGGGACTGGGACCTCACAGTTGGCCGTGTGGGTCCGCACCACCTGCTGGCCCGGCTGTAAGTGTTTATAGGTGTCTTCCTCTCAGAGCAGGGTGTGTCCAAAGCAGCAACATAAAGGCCCCCTGCACCTCGACTTGTGTGACCTTGGGCAGGTCATTTCCTTTTCTGCGTTTCTGTTTTTTCTTTCTTCATGATAAAGCACATGTAAGTAAGAGGGTGGGAGGATGAGCACTCTCCATGGGGTCCAGCCACCGCAGGCCCTGTCCCCCAGGGACTGGTGCGGTGTATTTCAAGCTGACCAGGCCAGGGATTCGGACCACAGTCCTCATGTGGATCTGGCTTCTCTTGAGTGTGTAGAACTGCTGCACCAGGGAATAGGACCTGTTTTCTTGTCAAATGCTAGGGGTCAAATAATACTTCTCTTGCAAGGCTGCTGGAGAGATCAACTGGGTTCAAATGTGATTTTTTAAAAATTATTTTATTTAACATTATTATTATTATTTTCACATGAGTTTTGACAGAGAAAGACCTAGAGAGAGAGAGAGAGAGAGAGAGAAAACAAACCGCCAGGTCCGAGACTCGAACTATGGTCAACCATGTGGGAACTCCAGCACCTTAACCACCACACCACTTGCTGGCCCCTCAAATGTGATTCTTAAAGACAGGTGTTCACGGGCCATCAGACACAGCAGTTACGTCGCTGGACCCCCACATGACAGTTCGCGTCCTGGACCCAGGCTTTAAACTCACACCGGGCATGTGTGTGTGCATGCCCAAGTCCCCAGGATGAGAATGGAGAAGAGATTGCAGTGTGGCCATCCCCCCTGGGGGCTGATTTCACACTTTCTGTCTCTCTGTCTCTCTGGTGAGCACACCCACCCTATAGCAAAAATCTCTCCCAAAGACAAGGGAGGTGTTCCAGGTGTGGCGTTTAGGCCGGCTCCTTGGCATGGTAAAGACACCCAGATCTCACATGCCGACCTGCCGTTCGAGCCTGGGACGCACTGCCTTGAGAAACACCGATCCCTGTGCATGTGTGCCCGAAGTCCTTCAAGGAAGGAGAGGTGGAGGACAAGGGTTTGTGGTGAGACCATGCCCCACGGCGGGAGATGGGTGCTTTCTCCATCCCCCTCCCTTGGGCCAGTGCAGGCACCCGGTGGCAAAATGCTTAAAAACAAGCAAAGCGTGGAGTTTCCACTGGCCCAGGGGCTCGGTTGGGCTGACTCTGAAGGCAAGCGCTATGTCTAGGCCCAGCCCTGGGCAGGGGGCCTGGCACAGAACGGACTCAGTGGCAGATGCCAGGGGAGGAGATGAAAGGGCTGACTTTGTACCCGGGCCTGCCACCCCGAGGTGCCGGGATTGCCTAGATGCAGCTGAGCAGGAGGCAGCCAGGCTGAGACCGTGCACTCAGACGGCTCTCCTGACAGGGCTACGTCCCGCTGGTGCAGATCCTGGCAAGCTTCTTCGGGAAGCTGCTGGGACAGGAGATGGACCCGCTCAAGAACGTGCTGGTGACCGTGGGTGCCTACGGGGCCCTGTTCACGGCCTTCCAGGCCCTGGTTGACGAAGGAGATGAGGTGAGTGGGCAAGGCTGGGGCTGGGGTGAGGGGTCAGGGTGGTGCTGACCCCTGCTCATCTCGCCCTGCCCAGGTCATCCTCATTGAACCCTTTTTTGACTGTTATGAGCCCATGACATTGATGGCGGGGGGCCGCCCTGTGTTTGTGCCCCTGAAGCTGGTAAGGACGCTGAGGGGGGTGCGGGTCGGACCCTGGAGACGGGGAAGAAGCAAAAGCGCCGGCTCCTCTGAGCTGGGTAGAGGGGGTGCCGTGGCGTCCAGAACCAAGGAGAGAAGGTGGGCAGGCAGCCAGGAGGAGTGGAGTAGCAGTAGGTGAGTACCGCCACCTCCCACCCCTGCTGCCTTGCAGAGTCCCACCAAGGACGGGGAGCTGGAGTCTAGCAGCAGCTGGCAGCTGGACCCCACCGAGCTGGCCAGCAAATTCACATCTCGTACCAAAGCCCTGGTCCTCAACACCCCCAACAACCCCCTGGGAAAGGTACCCGAGACGCCTCCACCCGGGGCATCCTCTCACTGGGCTCAAGGCGCCCCTCTACTCGTGGTTGCTGCCTCAGGGCCACAGCTTCTTTTTAAAACTCTTTGTCAGAGAGCACAGGCACTTGCCAGGGAAA